AACACAAAGAATCACCTGGAAGATGGAAGACTCGAGAAGACTCTTCTTGGCTTGATCAATTTTATGTAATAAAATAGTCCTATACACAAAAATATTTTGTGGACAAAGTTCTCCAAGCCTAGACACATTATGTTTCAGACGAGTGTCCTGCAAACAACACTATCCTCTATTTTCACATTGCACTCTGTGGCTTTGTGCAGTCCTTCCATGCCGGACCCATAAGGCCTTTCCTCACCCCCTCGGTGCTGAGCTGTTCTCCCACCACAGAAGAGGAGCAAGTTAATGGATGACAGTGACTCCAGCCCAAGGGACACCCAGGTGCCCCCAGCACTGCACTGACAGCAAGGCAAACAGCCACTTACATCTGCTCTTCATTGCCAGTTTAACGCAGTACAACAGTTTGTAATTCATGTTTTCATCTGTTCCTGGGGAAAGTGAAGCGCTTGTCTAACTGTGAAATTAAAAATCCACAGTAATTACAGTACTAGTTAGAGCTACTTGGTTTTTTGAAAAAATTCACTGAAATAATTCCTAAACTTTTTATTCTTCATGAGAGCAAGCCCCACCTCCAAGACAAGCTAGCTAGTGTTCAGTTGTCCAGCTTTTATTTTCTACTTAAGAAACGACGTCTCCTTGCTTTCCTCCCATATATAGATTAATCTTTCATGACGAAAAATGGCACTCGCTCCAGCTGTTAAGGCTTCCTAGCACAAGAGACAAAGGCAGAAGTCAAATGCTTTCTGGTTTCCAACTGTTCCAGTACTGACTGTGCAACACTTTCTGGGCAATGCAAACACTGACGATCAACTTGATTGCTTTTGTAAACTGACAGGTCCAGTTCATGCTGCCACCAATGTTAAAAAAAAAAAAAAATTAATTTTTAAGTGAAGTCTGATGTTCACATACACCGAAAATAAAAATAATTGTTAATGACGAAAGACAGCGTACAAGGCAAAAATCACATTCTGTTAGATGTACATGAGTACCATATACCACGCAATGTATGCCGCTATACAAACAGCTTATTCAAGCATATTTCAAAGCCTGCTACTGATAATCCAGGAGTATAAGTCCTAGAGCATCTCCATATTCAGCAAAAGGCTACCAAAAAAAAAAAAAAAAAAAGGAAAAAAATTAGTATTTTGGTTTCTGCTTGGTATCATAGGCTAAGGGCTTTGGCAAAATTTCAATTTGTGTTTTTCACTACACAAATCATCATACATTTCACTTGTATTACTAAAGCTCAAGTTTATGTCATCTATACTAACTTTACAGCGGTCATTCATCCAGTTTTGAAATACACCGTATACACCAGTGAACCTAAGGAGATACAAACCGCAAAAGAATCCAGGACCATTGGTGGCTTTTTTCTTAACTATGGATTGAGATTTTTTAAATTTTAACTGAAAAGTGCTCCACATGTTTTCCAAACTTGTGGCATTGGTTAGGAAATAGAAACTGAGAAATTCTAAGGAACGTCTTCTAACATTAGTCATCAATTTACGCACTGTACTTTGTACAGCAAGCAATGCACTCAAAGAAGGAAGCATGTTAGAAACTATTATAGATAGTAATCGTGAAAATCGTGTGATCATATCTGACTTCAACAAGAATCAGTGAAAAATCTTCTAGAGAAAAAGGATCCTTTATCAGATATATTTGGCAGAGCAATGTTTTGTCTAAACACTCCTGTCTGGCACAGAGTATGAGAAATAGCATGGATCAACTTTCAGTCCATAAAATCAGAAAAAAAGCAGTGGACTCTGGGAGAATCTTTAGTGTGTCAGACTGAAACACCTCAAATAATGCTTCATAATTATTTCACATGCCTTTCCACAAAAAAAAAAAAAAAAAGTGATAGAAGTGTCAGCAGTAGATACTAAATACTGTTTCTAAACATGTGAACTAGAGAAGAACAGTTTGTGTAATCTAAATCTTCCAGTGTACTTTTGAAACATGCAAGTTTCATGACTCCATGATGATCGCTCCTCTCTAAAGGCAAATTAGCCCCAAGAATGCAGCTACTGTGGAGTTGCAGATTTTCTGTACATACTGCCTTTCAACAATGTCCAAAGGAAGGAGTTCTTATTTTAGCCAAGATCCTAAAACACCTTAACCCCACAGCCAGAAGGCTCTCAGCTCTCGTGTACTCATGACAGCACTTAGGCTAAGGTTGCACTTATGTACTTCACAAGTATTCTCTCCGAGTGGGGGCTGTTGCTCAATTTTGTATACACAGAGCTATATGGACATAATCTTGCAGAATAGAGCCAAAGCAGTTACAGGTTATTAGGGAAACAATTCATCAGTAGGTAGGTTCATGTAAAATTCAGAAGTGGGGATTTTTCCACATTTTGTTTTTGGAGAACAGTCCGAGAAATCCAAGAGATGTCTTTCTTACAGGAATACTGCAGATAGCTAAACAGAAGCAAGATTTGGCATTTAGCCTGGGATTAGTGTGAACAGCCTCTTAACCAAACATTATGAAGAAAGTTAACTTTAAAATGCTTTGAAAGGTCTGTTTTCATGACAGATGGTAATAAGGGCTCATCAGTGCCAATTTTTTTTTTTGTTTCCACCTCAGTTTTCAAAAGCTTAAGTTTTAGGTTAGTGCTTCTGAGAAAACCATTACATGCATAGAGAAAAATGCAAATTACAAAATTAGATTACTCACTATTTTTATTGTGTGCAACATATTTTTCTAAATAACACTAACATATGAAGAGTAAGAATTTGACCGTGCACTTAATAGACCACTTTCCCTTTCTGTTTACTAGAATCCCCCTTTTTTTTTTTTTTTTTTTTTTTTTTTTTTTTTTTTTTCCCCCAGCTATTTCTCCTTTAATCTTTATCTGTACCTGGACAGTTATTCCTCTCCCCACTGACCCTAAAGGATACAGCAGTTGGTAGCAGGTAGAGGTTTTGTTTGTATAATACACTCACTAGGGAAGACATGGTAGAACTATATTTTATTCAAGAAAACCCACACATTCTGTCCTGTGGTGACCACAGGCTTTGCTAAGCCATAGATATCAGCAAATATTGGAACAAAATACAGTGTGTCAGATTGAATCAAAGCATTTAAATTCTGAATTACAGTTGTAACTTTCAGGGAAGGCTAGTTTCAGAATTGCATCATAGTATCTAGTACAATGTTGTGCAATGTAACCGGCAGAAACAGAAATGGAATATTGGTCCTAATAAAACCCGAAATGTAATGACTTTTGTATGACATTTAAACTGTCAAGACAACAATTCATAACATTCTACCAAAGGCAGCATATAGTTACAAAAATACTGGTCCAGCATCTTGTTAGTGGTGAAGCAATACCCAAGGTGCAACGGCAACGTGCCATTCTTAGTGAAATATTTTTTAAAAAACTATTTTTTCTATTTTCCCCGCACTGATACTAGCTGAACACCAAAACTGCTATGACAAACTGAAAGAAAGTCACCACTTATCATGTGTATTGCACCAATGATTTATGCAAAAACACATTTTCCAAGTTGCAGTATAAAAGAAGCAAAATCTAATAAAACTATGAATACGCCAAAAGACATTTTACTGCAACTGATCTTGGATAAGCAGGTTGCAACGTCTATTGAGGTTTAAACAATTATCCAAGCTTGTTCATTCTCTCCATGATCTTGAACTTTAGGATACAAAGGTAAAAGACAAAGTCCTTAATATTGAGAACAGAATTAAATCACTTTATACTCCTCTCCATTCACCCACAAAATAAAAATACTCTGCCCTCCTCTCCTCCCAGTACTCAGGTAATTTCAAGGTCAAGCCCTGGAATTACCCTTGTTCTGATATTGCACTGCGCTAGGATTGTATTGTTTCCAACTAGAAATTAAAACATGTAGCATGAGGGTGACCAAAACTGCTGGAGACAGTAGACCTGCTTAACTTGTAGAGGTATTCCAAGAAATGTGCATCAAATGGAGACACAATCTAAATGGCAAAGCGTACTGCAGATTTGGCTGTAGTCTGGACTTGGGCCAGAAATACATTAGCCTGCCTACCTTCAAGAAAACAGCATCAATTAATACCTTAACAAAAAAATGAAATTGCGTAAGATCAGGTAACCATGTCACGTGCAATGTTACATCCAACAACATAGAAATTAAGGAATAGCAGACAGGAATATTAATAATATTTTCCTTTTAATAACTGTTTAGTCAAAAGTGTAGCTTTGAAATCTCTAGCTAGTTGTGAAAACCTGAAGAAGCTGGGAAGCGACTTCACTTTGAACAGTACAGCTTAAAGCTGTGTTTTGGCCTATCTGCTTTCAAACTCTCCAGTAGCACTGCCAACCTTGTAAATAAAAGGTACCGCCTGGAAATATAAAGAAGTCAGCCTTTAAAAGTTGGTGAATGTTGTATTGTAGCAGCCTAACTCTGCTTGAAGAAGAAAGATGAGATTTTTTTATACAGTAAACAAAAGACAAAGTAAACTGAGATCTTCAGAGATCCCTGTAAGTGTATACAATTTGGATTCTCATCAACATTTAAAATTACCAATCATAAGGTTGCCACCTTACCTTTTTCTGGACTGGCATACCTGATTTTAAACAGGTTTTCCTCCAGTCTCCCAAGTTTCTGATCCTCTTATCCAGTTTTCTACTGTACTACTCTCCCACCTTCATGCTGAATACCGACTCAGTCCTGCCTTCTGCTTTTCTTGGCAGGAGGCAGAGCAAGCTTTTAATTTCGGTAGTCAGAGTGACAGAACAACAAAAGCACAGCAGATAGAAGAGCTTAATTCTTCCCCAGGAAGAAAATACATTTGGTTCAACAAAGGGCTGCAAAATCTTCCAAAGGCACCTATTTCCCCAGTTTTTGCCTGAAAGCAAGATGGCAATCTTAATTGAAAAGGGATGCTAAATCTTTTAAATAACTTAAAATTTCATTTTTATATAAAGCAGCAAAAACACTTTTCTCTGCAGAAAGAGAAATGTTAACAAAGAAACACGCCAACATAAATGCACTGTTCATAAACTTCGGCTAATTTAACTTCACAGGAAAGAAAAATTTTAGGACTATTCTTTAACCTCATCAGTACTTTCTGAAGAAGATTCTTTGGCATCTTCAGTCTCTCTGTTGCTTTTCTCTTTATTTAGATTTTCACTTCCTGATTTGGTCCCATTAAATAGAGAGTTTTCACCATTTACAAACCCATTCTCTGTGACTTCAGCATCAATAGCTTCATCAATCTTTAAGTCCCCTTGCTCTTCCACATCTTCTAGGTTTCTCAAGACAATAGGGAGTCTAGAGTCTGCCACAGTGTTCTCCAACAAGGCAATATTGCTCTCTTCATATTTAGGAAGTGGAGCTCCATCTGCCATTTGTTTGGTATAATACTCTCGGCTAGCAGCTGCACTCTTTACTGCTTTCTCCAAGATCTCTTTTTCACCTAAGCGCAATTTGATAGCCATGACTGCATGTGAAGTAAGGTCATGGGTCTCCAAGAAGGACTTATCATCCTGTTAGAAAAGAAAAAGCAAGTTTGTTAGTAACAACAAACACAGTAAAGTAATCCCTCAACTTTTCTCTCTATGCATTAACAGCAAGCGGCACTAGGTTCTTCAGGTTGATCCAAATGGACATAAATGAATGAGGGGATCTGCATGAAGTACTAGTAAAATTTGTCAGCAGTTCAGAAAGATGCCAAAAATTTCTCCACACAGATCAGCCTGCATAACAAACGAAGTCAGGAGACTTCACAAATATATGAAACATGTAGGTTCACTTAGACGCTCGCAATAGTAACACATTTATTTGCAATCTGGAGAACACAACTAATAGACAACAAGTTGAAACCGATTCTCCATTTTAAATGCAGAGAAAAAGCATGTAGCCTCTATTTGGAGAATCAAAGAAAAAATATATTAACAAAATTACATTAACAAAATTTTCTTTTTGCAATCTTATTTGATTTTCCTTAGATAATGCAAATCTGTTTCTACACTTTAAGAAGTACAGAATGAATTATGTACTAACATTCAGATTAAAGTTTGTAAAGACAAGATGGGGGACAAAATATATTTTCCTACAATCATAATACAAAACATTTCAGACATTTTAATTACATATAATGATAATTTTACCTCCACAGTTGTTTTATAGGTTTTCAAAAGAAGGGATGCTCTGGCTTCTAGGAATGTCCAAAGCTTAACTTCATTGTCCCAGCTAATGGGGAACTCAGAGTTCCCCAGAGTGAAGATTTTGTCAATGGCATGCTCGCCTATCAAGTGTTCCTTCAGCTCTTCTGCAATAAGTATAAAACCAATCTGTTAAAAACAATCTTATAATTCACTTTGGCAGTTGACAAACTGCAGAAAGATTTATTTTCAATAGCATAGCTCTGAGCAGCTAACAAAAAACCTCTCCTCAAATAAGAATTTTCAGATATGTTGGTTATTTCTAGTAGTCTCCTTAAAAAGGTAACCGAAGTCTTGAGGTTAGCAGAAAATCGACCTGAAAATCTGAAATAAAAATACTTCATCTTCACCTCTCACACACAGCGTAACAAAGTGACAGTGAGATGGAATGTTTTGTATAATACTTGATAAACAAAACAAAAGGGAGTAACTCTTCAAAGAGTTCAGCAAACTTTTCGATAATAAAAGGAACAGGCCAGAGAGTGTGCAAATAGGAATGGAATTATTTTTCCTATTGTTCTGGTAATCTTCTTCAGTAGCAGAAACTCCCTACAGTTGGTCAGAAAAGATATCCATCAAACAAACCCCACACAGAGTAGAAAATGTTTAATCACCTCCTTGACTTTACACAAATTCCATTAATCTTTTAATTACCAAACTTCACTCCTGCAAAGCAGCTATCAGAAACTTCACAAACCATTTGCATGTAGTTTCTCAATAAACAGTTTTCTTATATAGTATTTAAGACATACGAATAATGTGAGAACAATCATATATCAGAGAAATGCAATTAAAATGTCCACTAGCTATATTTTCTTCTCTGAGCCAAAATTCACCCCTTCATCAGCATCCTAAAATTTTCTTTACTTGAATGCACTTCCCTGAAGTGGTCAGGCACTTGGACTAGGTGGTTGTCTCAGGTCCCTTCCAACTGAACTACTCTATTCTACTCTGATTACTCAATAAGTTCTAAAAGATGGATGACAGGATACCATGAAAACATGACACTAAGTAAGGTATGTTGCTTTTATTAAAGAAAGCAAATAGAGCATATGCAAAAACTTAATAGCACTAGAAATAGTGAAGCTCTTCAAGTCCAAATCATCTGCAGAGCATCCCTAACTGCAAGAGACTTCTCTCACTGTCATGAAAAACTGTCACATCTATAACCTCCAAAACTGCATCTAAGCAGCAAGCAGCTACTACCACCACTTAATCAGAAGTCTCCCATGCACAAGTTAAGGTGAATGTTTATTAATTGTACATATATTTTCCCCATAAACCCCCCTAATATAAGAGAAACACTACAAAGACAGTTTGCAAATACATAAGTTGGTTTTAGATTGTGAATTACCAAAATATTGAAAATACTCAACTTTGAAATGTCTTTTCCATATTTCTCCTACAGTACAGATTATTCAAATTCCACACTTAAATGATTCTAGCAGTGATGACTAATATACTACAATTTTAAGCATGTAAACCCTTAGGTCTCACATGATCTTGTTCTATGTACCATTTTCAAACCTAAGAACTAAAGAGCAAGCTCCAAAACTCACAACAGCCTGAGAGATTAAAAAAAAAAATAAAAATTGTATCACCTCATTCTTTAGGAGTTCCAGAAAGGCCTGCATTACTGAATGTCTATCACATTTCTGCATTACAAGAAAATAAAAAAAGCAAACACCGCCACCCCGCAAACATAAATTAGGTTATCTTTATAAAACGTCTTACCTTCACTCATACAAAAGACTCGAAGGAAAGCCAAAAGCTGGGCAGAGATTGGAGGCTCAGTGGAGTGTAAGGCAAAAACACTAGAACTAATAAAAGAAACAATCAAACAACAACAGTAAATGCAAGTTCTATTGTCAAACGTTTGAACTTATTTCAAACTTATTTTTAAAATACACAATAAATGCAGTGTTATAAAAGTAACTTTTAAAAAATTAGGTAATACTAGTTAAAACTGAGGAAAAGCTTCCCTAATTTGTATGTGAAAAGAACAATTATCTCTACAATTTTACACTTACAATTATTTTTAAAGGGCTTTCATAATAAATTCATGAAAATGCAATGTTTCACATCTGCTGCTCCTAACAGTACTCTCTGGACTGAAAAGACTAAAGGAAAATGCTGTGGTTCACATACTGAGCATCGTAGTATGTCTGCAAGGGATAGGAAAGAAAGAAAAACCACAGATTGCTTCAAATTAATCCTTGCTCTGTTATTGTTCAAATGTTTATTAAAGCAAAGGCTTTTTTCCTTATATATGGTCCAAATTAGATTATAATGTAGCTCAAAGAACTTGTAAATATTATTACAATAACTTTAATTTGTTATACAAACAGGAGAAATATTACGTCTAAGAAATCTATCATAGAACAGCTTTATATATGCTCTACTGCACTATATACTTTGGCAATGTTCTAAAAAACCATGGCATCGTGTTTTACTTACGTGGGGATACCAGCACGAGCTAAGACCTCTGCCTTCATAGCATATAGCCTGTCACTTTTACTCACGCCAAGCTTTATTTTCACTCTGTCATGTGAATTATTATCAAAGAAAAAACCACTGTGGATGACAAATTCAGCGTTTGAGCGAGTGCCATAAAAAATGTAAATCTAGAAGGATGAAAAGAAAAGTGAAGGGACAGGAAAAAAAGCTTAAGATCAGCTCACAAAACTGACATAATTTGAAAGTTATTTCCTGCAAGAGTTACTATTCTGAGTACAAGGTATATTTGGTTATATAAAGAAACATACTTTGTTTTGTGGCATTGATTAACATGCTGTACATAGCATGGCAATACACTTTAGAGGTACGTGTAAATATATCCATGTAACTGAGAGACTTTGAAAGGAGATACTTTTAAAGTATACTTTATACTTAAAATTGCTTTGTTTTCTCACATTGTCATAAAATACTACTATATGGAAATAAGCTTTCAAAGATCCCATGCCTTTTGAAGGCTAAAAACCCCATCTGAGACAAGGTGGGCCCATTAAAAGAGATGGTGTTTCTGGGGTAATTTCCACCCCCTACATGTCCACCCGAAAGAGTAACCTATACTGCTGATGGATCAGCTTTGCTTTAATGCTACCTTAAGGCACAGGTATACCAAAGCATATCATACAGAGAGATCTGATCTGTGTTCAGCCAGTATTTATTTTGTGTTATACTCTGAACGCGTTATCTAAAGCAAATAGGTTACTTTAATTCACATTAAAAAAGAAGTTCCCAAATATAAGCTGCAAAAAGTGTTTAACTCAAGGGTAGGCTGTATGAAGCACACAGGACAGGAGGTCAGAGTAGCAATTACCTCCTCCTGTATCAAAAGAATATTTTCCCCTTTTGTTTGATAACACAATTGTCAATCAGAAAAAAAGTTTCAACAATTACTGAACTCCCTCCTTAAGCTTTGGGTACAGCAATGCTCGGGATACTGGCTGACAGAGAAAGGCAGAGTCTTCTCTCAGGGCCTCAGCAACACTAATGATGGTATTTAACTTCTTTGTTTTCAATTTTAGATTAGAACTATTTATCCTAAGCACTAAATGCTTGAGTGTTACATTAAATTATAGCAAACATCTTACTGTAACACACTCCCATAACGAATGAGTGACCTGCCGAGGTATGTTAAGGCAGTGGTTAAGGAGAGTTGCTAACCCTCTCAAGTTTTAAAGCTACTGTGATACATCTCCTATTAAACCAAAAGTCACACATCATGTGTAGATTATACAGTATGCTCTCGCACTCTGTTTTACAAAAAAAGCCAATTAAACAGAATGAGAAAGTTGCTTTATTCAAGGCCAGTGTTTGATAGATTCTGTGGACTTCTGCTGCCTCACATTTTTTAGTACTAAAAACAAGGATCACATCTGCTGAAACTGTAAGAAACAACATCTGCACAGTATATTAAAAGACTGAAGCATTATATAATTAAAGTGCCTTAATGACATTGATAACAGCTAAAGTTTGCACAGAAATTTTAAAAAATTCCGATAAATAGCAGATAAAACGAAACTACTAAAATAAAACTGAAATTGAGGAAGCCTTTATAATTGAAATGGAGAGAGCAGCCAGAACGGCTATATGACACATCCATTGCCAGCTGTGGAAAATTATAAATTGGATCACTTCTGGAAAAACTGTGGACCCCTTTTAACTCATCACACTGGTATTGGAAAAAATAGCAAATATTTGACTACCATAACAAATTCTAAGAGCAACACACACAAAAAAAATACAATCACTGTAAATCCTAGCATAGCAATGAGGATAAATACACCTCTGCAAAGACATACTTAAAAAATTTTTTCAGACACATCTTTGTTAAAAAAGAAGGTAACAATACATAAGAAAAATGAAAATCAAAATACTATAAAGTGCAAGACTGGCAAAATAATACAGCAAAGGTAATAACTCAGAGACTGAGTTACAAAACACTTCAGAATGTTTCACAGCCAAAGTCTTTTGGTAGCCATGCTGCCTGCAGCTGCACAAGCAGTAGGAAAAACAGAGTGCTACTGCACTTGAGGGCTTAGGCTGGCTGCTGACAGAGCACAGGAACCCTCTTACCGAGATTTCCTACTCTCCTGGAACCACTGTCTCCAATGCATCACTGGTTTTAACACTCATTTTTGTTTCTTAGCAGTTCTGAACAAAATACTGGATTCTGAACTGTTCCATGCATCTTTGCAAGCCTTGTCCTTTGGTACTTTCTGTTTTGGGATGGGGGGGTGTGCACATGCACGCACGCTTGTGTAAAAGGTTGTATATTTTAGGTCCTTTCTCATTTTCACTAAGCATGGGAATGGCAACATGGCTAAAATCACTGACAACTATACTGCATTTAACCTCTTGTTAGATGAAGACTAACAAGAAACATAAACTAAAAACATTTTTAAGACTTTACAATCTGCTATTACAGATGAAGTGATGCCCTAAATCTATTTATCTTTGGTCCTTCAGATATGGCCTTTTATTAATCTAATCTAGAACACCAAGATCAGTGTCTGTGTATGTGCATTCACCAGTGATTAAATATCTCAGCTAGTTCTCTAAAATATGCAGAATCAAAACTCTCCTAAAGTTGGCATCTACCAAGTGATATAAAAAAAATTTCTGAAAAATGTGCGCTTATTTAGTTTGGTAGTATTTTCACACAAAATTAGCTCAGCATAATAAAATTCAAATGTAGCAGGGCTTAATCCATGCCACTCTGCTATTAAAATTTTGTAGTGAATTACCAATTGCCCACACAACTTAATTAAAGAACAATTATGGAGATAACTGTTCACACTACCTGTTCTCCAGCCTTGAAATCTTGCAGCGCTACACATTCACACCGGTCATCTTCTAAATTGTAGCCTGTAGTGATCTATCCAAGGAAAGAGTAACAAAAGCACCTTTAGCATTCTATATTTATCTTCCTCACCACTGACAAAACATTGTCCTATTGGAAACAGATATTAACAATAGCAATTGCATACATTTCTTTCTCTAATATAACTGGTACTAATTGTTTTACTATTCCTGAGCAATTAATTTTTTTAAAATCTCTGCAATAAGGAAATCTTAGGGAGGAAATAACTTACCTGAAGTGAACTGAAGGCTCTGAGGAAAGTACCCTCCATAGAGCACAGACAGTCCCATGCTAAAGCCAGCAGCTTGTTATAAAGTTCTGGAGCTTTCAGTCACTCTCGTGAGGCCCAAGAGAGCAAGGCACTGACAGCTCTATATGCTGTGCTTCATCCTTCAACTGCCAGCATATTTCTGATCTCTCAATGAAAAAGGATTAGATAACTGTGGATCTTTAGGGGATACAATCTTCAGAGAATTATAATTCACTTGCAAATAATCCCTTTATCTAAAGTTAAGTAACACTCTTAAAATGCTAAAAGGATTTTTTTTTCATGGTAGCAATGGAAGAGGATAAACTCTCCTAACAAACCTGTAGTCCAAAAAAAATTTACAAAACTGTAAAGTGGTCACACTAAGAAGTAAAGCTATTCTAACAATGTAATACTTTTTTAAAGTGACAAACAGCATGTTCTTGAACAGTACTAACAAAGATGCAGGCACAGATACAGCCACAGGATAGAACACAAGCTGTAGAACAATTAGGAAGCAACTTTTATGGTAGGTATTCTGAATTCAGTACCGACGGAGCTAACTTATGGAAAAATATGCTCTGGGCCTGAGGAAGCACCTAGAAAAAGCTGAAGATTCTCTCAGCCTTTGTAAGTGGAGACATACTTGTTTGTGAGATAACCTACACGTGAGTTGCGGTATATCCCCACTCCCATCTTGGATGCAGTTTGTCCCAAGACAGAACTCCATGGATTATTTTGAAAGTTTGGTTGCTGTTTTACATGTTAATAGTTTTATGCTGCCTGCATTATCAGGAGTGCATTTGTCACCCAAAACAGTGCTATCAAAGTGAGCATGGGGAACTTGTCTCCGATGCAGCAAATCCAAAATGGGAGCCACAAGCACAGGCAGCTGGGCGCTGCAGAAGCTGGGAGAACTGCTCTGCACGCAGATGCCATCACTTCAAGTCTATTAAAGGGTTTGTGGTATGTTGAGATCAGAAGAGAACACAAGAGTCATGCAGTATGGCCTACTGCAAAACACAGGCTGCAGTACTTGAACACAGAAATTCACATACATTCACTATGGTGGACTGAACAATTTTTAATTAAGATCTCTCATTTAGAAGGTTATCTAACCCTGAATTGCAGGTTGCAAGTGCTAGAGGATTTACCTTTGCTATGATAAATATACCTTCCAAGTTCATATACAGTTATCTTCTGAAAAAAATGCAATTTCCATTCAAAAAAGGGAACTGTTGACACCACTTGACCTGTCCTGAAATTTTCTTAGTGTGTAAACTCAATGAAATACCTCTGAATGTGAAAACTCCATTCCAGTCTCTTGAAATGCCTGGGGAACAGGAGGCTTTCAAGTACTGGGGAAATTCCAGTATGTTAATAGAAGGATTGTGTCAGTTTAAGCATGCTTCACTATGGTACTGTTCATTTTTTGTGACTGTTTCTCATTTTTGCCTTTTTTAAAAAAAGAAAAAACAAACCAGCAGTGCTTCTGAAGGGCTTTTCTGTAAAGCATAATGGAGTGCTAGACTCTTGTTTCCTCTTTCTTTTAATAGCAGTCATGTACAAGAATTAACAGGGTGTTTACTGCTCTTCCCACATGATAGCTGACAAACTGCATCCCTTCAGTGTTATTTCTGAAGAAGACTGATACATGAATTTCAAGTTTTGTATAAAGCATGCAATAGTCTGCTTGGTCAGTGATTAAGGACGGACCCAGCCCAATAGGCAGAATGTAGCTTATTTAAAGTTCTGGCAGAACTGGTAATCAACCTCTGACTGTCAAAATACAATCCCACTAAAGAATAACAATGAGAAATGCATGAAGACAACCATTTTGATATAGTTCTTAGAGGCAGGTTGATCTAATTAATAGTGTCAGAAGCAAGAAAAAGCTGGATGGACCTAGATCCAGTTAAAGCCCAAAGAGCATTTTATTATCTAGCTCATGGAAAGGGGCCTGGTAAAAAAAAGCAAGAACAGGGATCTATAGTAGATGATTGGCTCAAGAAGTATTTCTGCACTATGTTTGTAATAGACAAGACAGGGGCACATACAATGCCATCTTATTTTCTTAGTTTCCTGCAGTGAAGAACAATTCCCTTCATGTATTTTAAAAGGATGCACTATGATTAGAGCAGAACCCACCCTCATCTCACTCTACATCAATATAAACTACAATACAGACAGCTTACAGTTGTCTTAGCAGTTTACAGTTATCTTAGCAGTTTTTTCCCTTTCTAGCAGTACAATGAAACTAACACACAACAAAAATAGGTTTAGTAGCTTTTCTTAGCCCCTTATCAGTGCTACAGTTGTCTCTCCTTCCTAACATTTAAGCTAGTTTCTGCAGAAATATGAAACAAATGAGTAAAGTCTGTATATACATACAAAATATTTAAGTTCAATATCCCCCCTTCCCCGCCCCTTAGCATAAAAAAATGCTTCCAACCCTGACATACTACCGCACTAGCAGGTTTGGCTCCAAAGGCTGGCTCCATATCAAACCCATTGTTAAAGAGAATAATAAAAATAAAAATTACTTTACCAATTTAAATAGCAGTTTGAATGTTTAAAACAACATAACTAGCTGCTCTTTTAATACAGGCTACTTAATTTTTTCCTCCCAGAACCTTAATTCTCTTCCTCTTTCCTCTGATCCCAACTTTGAAGACATTCATTAAGAGTTGTCTAATGAATACAGACAAGTCTCTGCAAAAGCATTTGAAAGAAATGCCCAGCAGGAAAAGGGTACAGGAAGTACTGATGCCTGCAGCTAAGATTTATATTACAAAAATATAAATTTCTTAATTTTAAGCAATTTTTTTTATATTGGAGACTGTCATACAAGCTTTATTGCTAAATCAAAGTTATGCGATTCCATAACAAACAGAAAAATGCAAGAATCACTGTAGATGAACAAATGTAATCACCTTCCAACAAGGAAAAATAAATAAATACCCCCCACACACACGCACTTGCAACTTTGTAGCCTAGCCTACCATGCTGCATTTGGTATAGTCATAGTAACAATAAATTAGCTAAATGTCAAGTGAAAAACAACTTGCTTAACAATTTGTTCATTTAAATCAGGTTTTTCTTATACCAACAACACTAACACACGCTGCTGTCCTAACATGCAGGTCAACTCTCCCACAAAAGAACCAGATTACTTGAATACTATGGTCATATTCACTGCTTACAATAAATAATACTATCTACTAGAAACACAAGTAGAGGGTATGAATTTTGAAGCATACATGAGACTGGCTAAATAACACTGATAAATCATCCTCTTATAGGTTTCCATTTCCTCATTTCAAACATTAACTAGCCTGTTAATGAAATTAAGACCTCATCCTCTGAACTAGCTCACGTAAGCCAAAATGTCAGCAGGTCTGACTTTCTAAACACATATGCCACCTTTTAAATGTTTAATATGCCCTAACATAGTATTTTTGCATTTTGTTTCTTTGATGTAGTAACAGATGTACTGTTTTTGTTGAACCAGGCTTTGTTCTTGTTGTTGCTGTCTCCATAACAAGGCTCTTTGGGCATGGTTAGGAGAGCAGGCAGTACTTCTCAGTTGCAAATTTCTAACCACTTTCCCTAGTGGTAGCTACAAGAGACAACCTCCATCACTGTCTGCTTTCCTATTCTCAGAACAAATCTGTCCAGTATTGTAAATCTTTTTCAGACAGACAGAAACAAAATTCCATGTCAGAAGAATATTCAGACTTGTCTGGAAAAAAGGTATCATGTAACTGAAAACTTTTAAAGCTACTTTATATGTCTATGAGACATAACTGTATGCAAGTATGCAATCACGTCTAAAGTCTCTAGATGAAGAAAGTTCTCCCTGAAAAACTGTTGTGAGACATTTAAGAAACCCACAAATCCTTCTTTCAGATATTAGTTTTTTAAGGTCACTTGGGAAGATAAAATACCTGTGTTAAAAAGCATAATGAAAAGTGTTATTAAACTGTTCTACAGCAGTTGAAAGGCTTAATACTTAAGCCCCAAAGCCTTTCAGCAACACTGAAGAAACCTTACCAGTCCATTAGTATGGTTACACATGTCCCACAAAGGTATTAGAGCCAACGTTACTCTGGAACCATCTTCTGTTGGAATTTGGTTCTGCCGTGTCATAACAGAGGAAACCGCCCATCTAAAAAAATTAAAAACATTAGATGGTCAATGTTCAAAACATCAATATACGATTGGCTGTAGTCCAACATGAAGCAATCATTTAGGCTGGGAGTTTCCAGCTTTGTTTTATTAAAGATCACACTGACGTCAGTAACAGCAGAAGGCAATACCACTTGCAGGAGAAGCAGCAGCTCCTAGGATCCCAAGACATGCGCATAAACCAATTCCCAGATCAGGACTGCAATCCTACCCCTCTTCCCTCTTTGCAGCAGTACCTTCATACTTTCCATTACCTCAACCAGGACCCACTCCCATGTCACCTTCTGCTTCCCCAGCCCTTCACTGCACATACCTCCCACACGCATTGCAAACCTGGGGTCAGCTATTCCTGCAGGCTTCAGAGTCGGTCACAGCTACTGCTTGACAGCAGCAGCTCTCATCTATGTGCAGACTCTTGTAAGAGCCAGGAGGTATTTTTCTCCTTACCCCCTAAAAAGCTTATGTACTCCATGAACCAGAAACCAGTGCCACCACCTGACACATGCATGGTATTTTGGCAAGTGCTTCTCTTCAGTTTGTGAGCTTTTAGCTTAGACCAGTATTGCTAAATTTTCCGCTTAACAGAAGAAAGAGGGAGAAAAGCCCCAATATCCCAGATATCCAAGTAAAAAGAACAAAGAAAGTGTAACATAGTTTAGCACACAGACGTCATTCAAAACCCTTCTAAGTCAGGTTAAGCAAATGAAATGTCAGCTGCCTATTAAAACAGAAGAATCTTCGGAAAAGCTTAACATTTCAGTATTTTCTAAAATTTCATTTTTATTTTATTCCACACAAAAATTAATATTAAATGTCAGAGGGAAAAAAATAATCTTAGTTTCACCATGTTCTGGCCTTGATACATATATTTTTTTGTGGTCTTTCTGAGAAAAAAACAGCAAAAGGAATACCACCAGGAGAAGGTCAAAATAATTTTAGCTCCCACAGACTCCACTACTAACAAGTACTTAATATACAGAATTAGACTTTCAAAAGGAAAATCTACTTAATTTCTAAAAAGCAAGTTAAAATTGTGGATAATTTTGAAATACAAACACTGTTTGAAACTTAATAGCAATATGTTTCTTTTTAACTGATGTAATTCATCTGCAAAATTTTAGACCACTTCACATGTAAGTTGGCATGTTCCTCAGTGACCCTGTAAGTGAAGGAGGCAAGCTTTGGAAATCCCACTTTCATAGACTTACCCAGAAGTACAACTAGGCTAAGAAAATCCCTGTAAGACCTCAGAAATGCCTTTTATTCATGCTACTTTAATCACTTAACAGAATTAAAGCTCTTGTTATCTTAATTATTCTTATTTTTATCTTAATTTTGTCACCCTTTATAGCACCTCCAAGTGACACTCATGCTTCACATGTACAGATTAAGTTCTCCAGCTCTCCTGTTCAACAGCACCCATAAACATTAGGTTTTACTACTATGTGCTGGTAAAGCCTTTTATAAAAAAAGAAATATAAAAAAATCCCCAAGACCCCAGCAATATCGACTGAATTATTTCCTTAAGAAACAACAATGTGTGCCAGTTCGCTAAATTAATTCCTCATAATGACTGTTCCTTTGTAACAATTAAGATTTGCATATTTATTTTACTTTCTTCTTCATTAAGAAAGTGTATTAGTATCAAATCCTACATTTAACATTTCAATAGGGCTTTCCCTCCAATGAAGCATTTCCAGGGCCTACAGTTCATTATATTAAAAAAAAATTTAAAAATAAAAACAATTAAAAGACAGACCAACCTGTAGTCGTCATAAGTGAAAGAATCCTTTAAAGGCAGTTTGCTGGCATTAGGATGGGTCTGGGAAACGCAAGTTTCAGAAAAAGGTGAAAAGAGAAAGAAAAGAGAAATCAGAAATCAGTCAGCAGAATTTCATTATTTAGCTGCCTAACAGATTCTAACAAGAGCCAAATGAAGCAGGAGGCGTCCAGCCGCGCTACAGAGGGATCATCATGCTATTATGCTCTCATACATCACTGTCAACTTAATTTGTTGTGCCCAGCAGCCGCCATAAATCTGTTTCTTCATATTTCAAGACTGGAACCCACAGACATCGTACAAAAATAAAAAATTTAAGGTGGACTGTCTCAGTGAAGGTAAAACAAAATCCAGCCCTTGATGCAAGATGGGAGAAAGAAATCAGACAATAAGCATACATTAGGTTTCACCAGCTTCCACATTTTCCTCTTCTCTGGGATACCAGTAAGGTACTTCACAAAGAAAAAGAAAATTATGCAAAAAAAAAAAAAATTATGCAAGATTTGAAATTCTTCCTCGATACCTGTAAAGGTGTTATGCAGTACAAGTTGTACTACACCTCTGAAACAAAACCAATTAAAATAGTTTTGGTGATAAACGCTGATCAGACAGTATCTGTATTAACCAATCAACACGTGTTCCTATCTAGAAGTGGAGCAATGCCATTTAAGAACGTATACTGTAGCTGTCATTAACAAGCAAAATATTTGATTTTTAAAAGGCTTTAAGAAGCTGTAATACCTGTTACTTTTCTGATCAATTAACTTATCAAAAGTTTCAAAAATACAGGTAGCTTTAAGCCCACACTCACACACTTTCTTTAGAACTCTCTTCTAATTCACAAATGTAAAGCCATAAGAGCACAAATTTTAATCTTCAGGTTCAATTAGGTCTCAGAGACGAACTGTAGTAAATGATCAAACGGTTATTTCAGAAGATACAAATGATTTTTCGCATAGCTTTATCTTTGCTACACTCTTAATGCATGAAGCTCCATGCAGTATGCAGTTTTTTTACTCTTGATGCATTAGCATCACAAGTGCATGGTAATTTATCATTTCTCACTGTAATGTACTTGCTGGCACTGTGTGCAGGACAGTAGGGGATGAGGTAAAAGTGGCTCAAACCGTAAATCAATTAGAAAACAAAAGCTTGTGCTCAGTGCGCAATTTTAGGCAAATTATATATTACAAAAGACTGCCAATTGGGTGTTAGGTCCCAGGTGTCTGTTCTCCCTCAGCCCCTCCAGTTAACCCTTTGGATGGGCTTTCTCTGAAACGTGACAGAAGTTAACAATTCCAGCGACTGCTGCTGTCCCTTCCCTCACTCTGGTGTTTTTTCGTTGTTTGTTTGTTTTTCTTTTTTCTTCTTTTTAAAGCACGCTACATTTCCACATGATTTTCATTCACATCGAAGATCTGGGCATTGCATAACAAATTTCCTCGAGTTTAACTGTAGCGACACATTTAATGGAATTATTTCTTCTCACAAAAGAAAACAATACAAGACCAGAACCAAAACCCAAACCAATAAATTTTAAGAGGTATCTTCGCTGCAAGAGAGCCGTCCAGAGCTGATTCCAAAAATGAATGTAACTGGAAATAACAATACTTAAAAAGAAGCAAACATCACCCTATATTATTCCTTTATGACAATTTAATTTCAACCTTTATTGCTAGCATTATTAATCTATTTTACATTAGCTTGATATAGTAAACTAAGTA